ATTAATGATCAACTACCAGCTAGCCCATCATCAATCAGTGTCTACATATCTATGATCTACTACCAGCTAGTCCATCATCAAACAATGACAACACTGATACACGCCTTTATAGTCCTCCTGTTACGCAGGACGTTTGACGTAATCAAAGCACGCAACTCCTCATGTTGGATTCCGTATATATCTCAGGTCTTAGGATCCAATCATGGAACCGTCATATGAGATTCTAGTCATGACTCTAGTCCATGTGACAATCTCATGCGGGTCATTCCAGTATTCCGTTCTCCAACGAATACCTATGATTGTGATCGTATCCAATACTTATGATCATCTATGTGATCATCAATCACACATCATACTAGTCTTATTATGTCGATATTCCCATAACGACATAAGACTAGGGTGTTTAGTATCATTCATAATGACACATGGATTTCATAACAGATCCAGTATGCAAGAACATGTAATGAATAAAATACTCTCATAAAAACACATAGAAAGTATCAATACATCGAATGTATCTCAATAAAGCTCATAATCAGTACATCATAGAGCACTAAACCAACAACCACGCACTTGCTCTAATCATGAACTGCTAAACATCTAATGCCCATATCCCTAACATGACCCTCATGCTTCGACGAAGGGAGAGGCTTCGTCAACGGATCGGCAATGTTGTCATCTGTCGACACCCTGCAAATGTACACGTCTCCTCTGTCTATAATCTCCCTGATAAGGTGAAATCGGCTGAGTATGTGTTTGGATCGTTGATGGGATCTGGGTTCTTTCGCTTGTGCGATCGCTCCATTGTTGTCACAATACAGAGCAATGGGGCTATCAGCACTCGGAATGACACCCAAGTCACCAGCAAACTTTCTGATCCAAACAGCTTCCTTTGCTGCGTCCGACGCTGCAATATACTCAACTTCTGTAGTAGAATCTGCAACGGTCGCCTGCTTGGAACTCTTCCAGCTAACAGCGCCTCCGGCTCTCGTGGCATTGGCCGCAGGCTCTGGTGGTAGAGCTCCTTCCAGGACGTACGACTTCTTATCGTGCTTGAGAACAATTCTCAAGTTCCGATACCAGTCTAAGAAGTTCGTCTCGGTCAGCTTATCCTTCTCAAGGATAGATCGCGTCGTTAAACTCGGTACGCTACCGGTTGACGCAATGTCCTACAAAAAAGACAAACAGAACATACAAAACAAATGCAGATTCTATTAATGATCAACTACCAGCTAGCCCATCATCAATCAGTGTCTACATATCTATGATCTACTACCAGCTAGTCCATCATCAAACAATGACAACATAGATGCAAAAACGAGCTATATTCCCATACAGAAAAATAACCCTATCATAATTTTCTATATGGGACTAAGATCCATATTTCGCATAAGAATGGATTGTTACACCTATCTTTATGCTATTTAGGTAGACATCCAATGTCGATCACATCCCATGTGACTCTTAGATCCTTTATGAGACTATGATATCGAATATCATTGCATACTCGTCTCATCTGTACCATTAAGTCTCAAGTCAAACTTGACAACTTAACCTAAGTTAAATCATGTTCAAGCTGTGGGAACCACGATTTCCCACCCTGCCTCACAAAGATAATCCGGCACGCTCAGCTTTGGCATGACCCGTGTTACGGACGATCGATGCCTTGATAGGCGCTCTAGTAATGGGAGGTACACACTTAGCATTACATAAATAAGGGATTTTCGAAACCACACTTAGATCAAGCATCTACTTTCAAGCTATGAGAACCACCATTTCTCCATCTTGCCTCACCAAGGTAATACGGCACACCCAGCTTTGGCATGACCCATGACACGTACGATCGAGGCCTTGACAAGTGCTTTACTCGTAGAGCTCCTAGATCTAACCGGTTTCTGTGCAACGATTGTTCATAATCCGAATGGACAATCCAATCGATTATACAATCCTAATCCCGAAACTCCCACTCAATCAAGCATATATAATATCTTGATTAAGTTACATACATTCATTCACTATGGACCATCCATAAGAAAGAATCATGTTATTCTGAATCACAGTTGATCGGTTTTAAGCAACGATTGCTCAAACCAGATCCCTAAACGCAAAATCTAATTTTGGTGAAGCGTCGGGTCCTAGACCGTTTGGTCTAGGCCTAGACCGATCGGTCTAGGCGGTTCGGTCTTCGGGTCATAGTCGGTCCGTTCGGTCTGGAATGGTCTGTCCATTCGGACTGACTCTTCAGTCAGTTCGGTTCGAACGGACTGGATCGTCTAGCCCAGAGAAAACGACGAACCCTAGACCGTCCGGTCCAGAGGACCAGACCGTTCGGTCTAGGCGGAAAAACGCGATCAGATCACGTTCTTCGTCGTTTCGGTCCCGATTCAGATCCGATTTCGACCCCGTATTCGCCTGTGAACTCAGAACAGAAGCCTCTTGTAGCTATGCAACAAAGAACATGAAATCTACCCTAGATCCATAATCAAATCATGCATAGCATCAATAGCAAACACGGATTCAAACAATTCAAATCCTATAACGTACATGATCGGGTTCTAACAAAATCATGCAGAGCAACCAGGCTCTGATACCATTGTTGGGTTTTTCTGGGATCTCATGAGCGAATCTGATTCCTAAGAGATCAGTTCTAGAGTTTGCGCAGCGGATGTAAAACAAAAATTTGATAAAACCCTAAAACCTATCATGCATGATCTTGTAGAAACGTTAGAACGATTACCTCAATCGATCCGGGACCTGTTTCAATTGATGTGTTCGTCCGATCACTATATGTATATGTGTTAGTTATAATCATTTTTATTTTAATAGGTATAATATGTATGTATATAAATTTAATTATAATTATTTTTATTTTAATATATATGCATTGGTAATGATATATATATATATATATATATATTGTAGTTATATGTATATGTGTTTTATTAATTATAAATAATTTTATTTTTAATATATATATATATATATGTGTGTGAATTTATATCTATATATTAATATAAATACATGTAGAGAATATTTGGATATTTAATAATATTTTTTGTTGAGTCAGCAGTTGCGTTTAATGACGTTAACGGATACGTGTTTGATTTGAAAAAAATATAAAAGTCTGGGTATTTATGTAAGAGTTGTGAAAAGTTCAGGTATTTATATGACAATTTTATAGTTCGGATATTTATTTGGGAATTTTATAAAAGTTCGGGTATTTTTATGCGATTACAAAAAAACGATTTTTTTTTTCTTTCTTTCTGTGTAATAAATCTGCGAATTGGATATCTAAAAATGTTTTATTCAGTCATGGAGGGGATGAGTTTGGATCGAATAACGACCGTGAAAACTCAATCTTCGTATCGAACAAATAGAATTCATACGCTCGTAGGATAGGGTTAGGGTTGTCATTCTAACGATTCACCTAACATAAATAATTGTATAACAATACCAAACATATTTATCAATATAAATGTTTATATACCATGATAAAATACTTGTAAATTTTTATATATGGAATTTTAGTGCGCGACTGCATTAATAATATTAACAAGTGTAAAATCCCTAAAAAACCTCCAACTTGCAAAAATATATACAAATAAACCTTCAACTTGAAAAACTGTCATTCAATCCCCGAACTTGTAACTTGTCACTAAATAAAACCTCGAACTTGCAAATTATTGCTCTAATAAACCTTTGACCGGTTTGACCACAATTTCAGGCGATCAAAAATCCACGTATTAACGGATTGCTGATGTCACCTTATACACGTTATCAATTTTAATTTAAAAAAAATGACATCAGCAATCCGTCAATACGTGGATTTCCGATCGTTTGAAATTATGGTCAAACCGGTCAAAGGTTTATTAGAACAATAATTTACAAGTTCGAGGTTTTATTCAGTGACAAGTTACAAGTTCGGAGATTGAATGACAGTTTTTCAATTTGAAGGTTTATTTGTATATATTTTTACAAGTTGGAGGTTTTTGAGGGATTTTACCCTATTAACAAATAATATCGAGGAACAAAAGGAGCTTTACAACCCGTGGGATAGGGGCAAATCAATGCTGCCAAAGCCCCCAACGTCTACGCCATACACTCTTGTACCATTGGCTTGAGTTCAATTATATATATATATAAAATTCGTAATCGAACTTAATTCTAAGTATTTAGTTTCTATACTCTTCAGATAAATATAAAATTTCAAACGATTCCAAGTCTCTACAGTACAGTAATCCAAAAATTTAATTAAACAACTTTTCCTTTTTCTATAAAATCATTTTAAATTTATAAAATTTTCCTAACCTCGTTGGCAATAATTTGGAATTATCATTCTAATAGTCAAATTGATATACGATTGGCGAGAAAACTTAAGTATATGTACAGATTTTGTTTTTTATTTTTCTAGTAAAATTTGATCAAATATCATCGATTAGTTAAGTTGGGTTTCATCTTCTCATTAGCGAAGTGGTTAATTAGTGGTTTAGGACAAAATGATCCAATAATTGAACCCTCCCGTTCGGCCACGAACGAATAAAGCGTTTAACAAAGGGACTTTCTGGTGGGAAAACGCGTTTAACAAGACAGGTCCGTCCACACGACATCAATGAGTTCTATTAGTAGCTGTTAATACTTCTCGTAATAATATAACGCCAACATCATCATCATCTTGCCAAGAACGAAGCATATTTACATCCCGACCGCGTTATGGAGTTGATGTCCGACAACTGTGTGTGTGTGTGCCGTCTCATCTTCTCAGGTGGCTGCGGGTGAAAAAGGAATGTCTGAGAGCTTCTCGGGCAGTCAGCCTCTCGGATGGATCGAACCGGAGCAGCCCTTGCAACAGGTTTATCAGTTCTCCCGCCGAATGGTCCACTTGTTGCATTATTAGGTTCTGAATCAACACCCACACGTATATAAGGCACCAGAAAGAAATCAAGTCACACATGGCTTAAGCATTGGAGTTATTCCCCAGACCTGAAGACGAGGGAGCTTGAGCACAGCTTTCAGGCTGTCTCTAGAGGTGGCACCACCTGGCCAATCCAAACGACCTCTTCTAACGTACTTCTCAGCATGTCGGCTGATAATAATGACAACATGTCAGATAAAGAAACCGTCGAGGAAAAAAAGGCTTAATCTATACTCACTCCGCTCTCTTCAGGATGTGTTGAGGAAACGTGCCAAGAACACGCTCCATCATCGCTAGATGCTCCAGGTTCTCATGCGTTTGGAACAATGCTTCACCCTTAACAGGTTTTGATAAAAACTTCTCAGCAAAATCGAAAAAAATGTCCTTTGAATTACGTCAAAAAAACAAAACACTTTCAACGCATACCGTGCATAGCTCAACTAAAATACATCCGATACTCCAGACATCACATGGAAAACTCCACCCGAGACCTATACGATGCACACTCTCCCATCAGTTCACACAATAATCAGAGTCGACATATGCAGAACAGGTCATTTACATGCAAGAGCCACTTACCAAGAATCACCTCTGGTGCCCTGTAGTGTCTGGTCGATACAATATAATTCTGATCCTGACGCTCGTAGGTTGTACTGCCAAAATCAATCACCTTTATTGCACTTGATTTAGGCACTCTCTTATAGCAAGCATCCCTGGACAATCGGGAACCCTGCCAGCGAGAAAAACTCTAAGTAACAGAGTTGTGAACGAAACGAAGAGATAACCCAAATGATTCATTCTAAATTCAAGATATACCTTGTACTCAGGAATTTTCACATAATCCGAGGAGACTAGCAGAATGTTCTCTGGCTTCAGATCAGTGTGAATCATGCGCAAGTCATGCATAACTGAAAATTCAGTAGAGAACATTAAACAGTGGTAATAACAGAGAGCTAAATAAGTCATCATGCAGCTGAAATGCAGCTCAAATAAAAAGTACAGTATCCTAAGTAAGAAGGAACAATTGGCCACACCAAACAAAGCTTAAAAAGAATCGATTGCAAATAGATGGAAAGGACCAGCAAAGTACTACACACATGCTACACATTCCAAGAGTTGCCAGCCAATCTCACGGACAAGATCAATGGGAAAGGGGCGATAATTGTTTTTCCGAAGAAAATCGTATATACTTGGTCCAAGCTTCTCAAACACCTGTTGAAACCATTTAAATTCATCCAAAAATATTTAACCCCAAATATTTCCCAGATCAGGGAAAAGGATAGCATCCGAAATTGACTAAATACTTACGATACAGATATGGTTTCGATAGTCAAACCAGTTCCGAATTTGAACACAACTGCAAGGAATAAACTGATTTAACCTTTGCAAAACAGATCTTGGGAAATCATGCCTGACTCCATCAGACATGAACTCCAAGATGGAAAACAAATTACTTACCGATTTCCACTTTTGTCATGTTTACCAAGCTGTTGCAGCATTTCGATTTCAATCATAGCTGCCTCACGGTATTTTTTCACTCCTCGGACAATTTTGACTGCAACCATTTCTTTCCTCTCCCTGTCCCAGCACTCTAACACCTGACCAAAAGTACCTGCAACCACAATTATAAGAGAGATACATCTTAGATATAATCTATATTAGGTCATGTAAAGAACCACACAAGGATTCGAAATTCATACCTTCACCCATTTTGCTATAGATCTTATCTGCAAAAAAGGGGAGCAGCACACACAACATCAGAATAATGAATTCACATAAAATCCACTAAGATTCTCATGCATTAGATTAAATAAAAGTTACTGGCGACCATTAAACTGCAAACACCGAAAAGAGGCCAAAACACCCTAATAGAGAACTTCCTATAACATTTCTGCGGAGATGAAACTTCAGGTTGCTTAAAAGTTCTATTAAAACAGATCTTTCTACGGTAGCAGGAAGTGAAATTACAGCGAGAAGTTAAGTCATCTCCCAGCTCAAACATATAATGCCCATCCTTGTCATCTTCTCGCCATGGGGGAGAACCATTTCGAGCCACTTCCTTAACAAACAGAGAAGAGCTACTATGGTCTGAAGGTGCTCCCGAGGATGCAAAGCTCGACAGATTTCCAATCTCTTGCCCACAAAACATCCCTACCTGAGCCTACACACAGCCACTCATTCATGCACCGTAATAGATAGATGAAAACTTCACCCACCATTATTTTACACCAACATATTCAGATCTGTGTTCTTTCATTATTATGGTACGTTGTAACAGAGGGTATGAAATCAAAGCAATTACCGAACATTGCACGCAAAGCGAAATTCAAACAATTACAAACCGAGAATATTCTCACGGAACCATTGATTGCATTATTTTCTCTGAAGGATACAAAGACAAATTGTTACACAATCAATCCCCACTGTCTGGATATGTAAATCTGTCATTTAGAATAAATTCAGAACAAGCAGCAACCAAAAACGCCATAAATCTAAATTCACAAAGCATCACCATAAATGAATGCAAACCCAATATCACGTACAATCTCTGGAACAAAATAGATCACACGTTCTACACTTTTCAACCGAACGAATGTCGTTAAAACCCAAATAAAATCACAGAGACTAGACAATCACAACGCACAAAACATCCTAAACACTAAAAGTTTCCCACTTGATTCTTTCCCCACCAAAACCAGAGAAGATCCCCCGATTCCCAACCAAAAGCAAACAATCGGAGAAAAACGACTATCAACGAACGAAAAATCCGGAAACCATTCAAGAAATTGTAGATCGAGACGAACAAAATACAAAAATCTAAATCACAAGGCAAAACCAGATCTATACCTTAGGCGCCTGAGGTACGACGTCCCAACCGAGACGCGCCCTTTTTCTGGGGCGTCGATCCATGTGGGTATGAGGAAACTCGATCACGCGCTCCATCTCCATAACTGCAGAGAACCGCAGGATTTCGGACAAAGAAAATCAGAGAAAAATCGGTCGAAAACAAGAGAAGCGAATTTTAGAGAAGCAGGTCGGCGATGGCGATAATCTACAAACAACTTGTGACCTCTAACCCTAGTTTTAACCAGAGAAAACACAGAAAGAGAAAGCGGTCAGGAAGCAAATCTAGACCGTACACGTGTTGTTCAACTTGTGTTTGACCTGTATTATTCTAACCAGGGTTAGGTGGAACCTAGCTGAATTTAACCAGAGTTTGGTTGGCTCAATGAGTGATTGGAATATGCTTTCCACTTTTCCAGTTCAATTAAACAACAAGCAGTGCGTGTAACATAGCAATAAACAACACGCATTGTGGACAACACAGATACGACACGCATTGCGTCTGATTTTGGAACACAACACGCGTTGTGGACAACGCACACGGATAAACAACGAGCATTGCGTCTCATTTAGCACTAAACGACACGTAATGTGGGTATCGGTTGAGAACAAACTATAGAATTTTTTTTTTTTGATAAAAGGTTAAAATATATTCATCAAAATTGTTTGTGTACAAAACCGATGATGATCGCACCCGTACAAAAGAGAATACCCATTTATCTGTAACTTGACACCATAACTAATATGTAGAAGCAGCTAACGATGAGATAGAGTGATGTAATACCAGTCGACAAGGAGATCCGGGTCAACCCTACGAGAGGAGCCACGGAGCGAGAGTATACAATTTCGGACCATGACGTTTAGTGTGCCACAAAGTGAGTCGGCCGATGAAACAACACCTCGGAAAAGCCTTGTATTCCTTTCTGACCATAGTAGGTAAAGTGAACATTGGAGAAGAATCAAGAAAATAAGACTCCTATTATGGGACAGATCATTTCTCGGGTGTCTCATCCAGTCCAGAGTGTCTTGGAGATCTAAAGGTGGTCTGCGCCAAATGCATCGGGCAAAACGGGACCAGACCTGACTACTGTAGTTATAGCGGAAGAAGAGGTGAGAGTGTGACTCCTCCTCTAAACCATAGAGCAAACAAGTTGAAACCGCAACTGCCCCCCATCGGTAAAGTCTGTCACGCATCGGTAGTCGGCAATGAAGAGCCATCCATTGGATAAACCCATATCTCGAGACTCCCTAAAAAAACCAAACCAGTGGGTGCCACGATACTTCCAACGAAGGCTGACGGAGTAATTTCCAAGTGCCTGCAGAGGAGAATGCACCTGCAAATGTGTTTGGACCATTCTTCCATTCATACATTTCTGGTCCGCTATCTGAGCTTGGCAACTGCAAGGAAGCCAACCTGATGTAGAGGTCCAACACTCTCTGTGATCTAGCCCCCGGGAGAGTCCAGCCCGAGTCCGAAACAACGTCTACTACTCTGACCTGTCGTGGAATCCTCAACATGCGGGGGCCACCTTCACCTACATGCTCAATCAAGGGGTCAATGTCTGTCGAAGTATCAAACCAGGATGCAGTTCTTTACCATCGCCCAAGGAACATTGCATAAACTGTCGCACCACCAGTTTAAGAAGTAGAAGCAAACTATAGAATCTAATTTACAATTATACATGTTGGCATTTTTTTTGAGTTACATGAACAACGGCATACTTCCAATTCAAATGCTTTGTGAGTATGGGAGTAACTTCAACTTATTTCATATTCAATCTAATTTTTCACGTAGGAAAATATCCTAAAATATCACATTTTTGAACATAATTATTAAAACTAACAATCTACAAATAACAAAAATCTAACAACACTAAGTTTTTTTATCCTTCTATAAAGATTTGATTTTTAGTAGCAGAGTTTAATGTTTTAAAAATTAAAGATATTTTTTATTCAAACATTAAAAATACCAGTTTTGATAACTAATAACTGTAGTATCAATTTCGATAATTTATCTCAAAAATAATATGTCAAAATTTTCTATTTTGACTATTTGTTTTAAATAAAAAAAATTATCTCATCCAATAGTAAGTTTATGCCTTGCACAAATAAACAAGAAGTTGATATTGATAGGTTCAAATGCATCAGTAGTCAGCACTAATATATTTTTGGACAAAAAACCAATCTTTACAAGGTTCTTGTAATGAACATAATCAATAATCTCAACCATATTATAACGGAAATTAGCATAACAGTCACGGAAATCCGGATTTATAGTCTTCATGTCGATATGCTTCACCTGTTTTTTTTTTAATCTTATAACATCAAAATTCTCATTTTTTCAACTTTTTATACAAACTCTTCGTCGATGTTTTGGTAATCTTTCATTTGATTTGCACTTGTAAGAGAAAAAAGACATCACCCTTGAGTTCAAAAACACAATATGGAGAAGAAACAACATGTTTAGACATTTCTTTTTGCTTGCCTTTTTGGTGTGAAGGTGATTATAATTTATATCAAAAGAATTACAAAATCCAGTTTTTGTTTCTACAAAAGACTATGAAACCCATGAATAAGTGGTAAAATTCTCCTAAAAAATCTCTCGCATCAAATAATACCAAAAAACAAGGTACGAGTCTCTATCCTCTGTGGTCTTCCTCTTGATGTATATCAAAATATTACGGATGGTTCGATCAATCTTCCACCGAAAATTCTGTCCCGAATCTGATCTGTCCGCGGTCAGCCGGACCAAGTGTGGGTCAGCCGAACCAGCAGACAGATCAGACTCCAGACCACGTTCTGGTCAGCTCGGAGGATAGAAAACGAACTGACTTGGTCCGGAGTTGACCAAGTTTGGTCAGCCCCGTACTAACTTAGTTTTGAACTGAGTCCGGTTCCAGGTCAGCTCGGAGCAAGAGAAGACTGAGTTGGTCCGGAGCTGACCAAAAGTTGGTCAGCCCCGGACCAAGCTCAGATTTTTCTCAAAACGGACAATTCGGTGGACCAGAGAAGCTGACCAAGGTCAGTCCGGCAACCAAAAGTTGGTCAGCCCCGGACCAAGCTCAGATTTTTCTCAAAACGGACAATTCGGTGGACCAGAGAAGCTGACCAAGGTCAGTCCGGCAGACCAAATCCTGGTCAGCTCCGGACTGGACCTCAGACACTTCTCAAGTCCGAAATTTTGTCTCCTTCCTCATGATTAATCTCAAGCTATTACCGCCCATTAGTAGAGCAACTGTCAAGGCCTCGATCGTCATGCTTACTGATACGTGTGTATCGAGTCTAGAATTTATAACCCGATTCACAACTCACCGCAAGGATACGGATCGTCGTAACACGGGGTCGAACGCAAGGACCAGTAGCTAAGTCTAAATCCTAATCGAAACCAAATCAAGCAAGGAAGTGGAAGTGATGGTGGAAATATGTAGAATCAATGGAAAATAAAATAAGAAAGCAAATAAAAACGAGTAAACTATCAAGCAAGGATGACTATGGGTGTCGGGATCGTATTCGCATGTATGGGTATATGTTAAGCATGCGAGAATAACGATTATGACTTGTATTCGGGAATCATCAAGCAACAAAGATAGAGAATTCACCTCTCGATCTACTAACTCCCCACCTATAGAATAACTCGTCAATCTCTCGATCTATTCAAGTTAACCCTAGGTGCATAAAGAATGCTATCATCAATCCTAGATCGATTAAACCATATCTCTATGTGAATAATACGATCTATCCTATTGATTTTGATCCGAAACCAACTCATATCTCTATGTAGTTTAGAATCTAAGATAATTGACCAAGGGTTAGCAAACATCAATCCAATAAAAGCGCAAATCAATAGAACCGAAACAAATCAAAACCGAAATCTAAGTTAGGGTTCAAACATACCCAAAACACATACGAATCCCTAACCCATAGCCGTGGATCTACTTACGGTTCATGGAAAACAATAAAAAGCTCATAAAGAAAGAGATAAAAGAGAGGAAAGAAAGTCTCATGCAGATGTGTAGTCTCCACGATCGAATCTTCCTTCTTCTTCCCGAAATCCCGTGAACTTTTATTCTTCTCTCACCAAAAGCTCTCCAAAAATCTGTATCTAAGTGTTCTCTAAGGCTCTCTCCTGTACTAGGACGTGGCTAGGTGTTTTTTATAACCCTAGGGCGGCTCCCAAGAGTTTTATTCCCATTCTGATGCTGAAAATCGCGAAACAGGGTTTTTGACTGGATCCGGGCCGATTCCAGATGGATCCGGACCGGATCCAGATTCCTGGGGTCGAATTTTGCGTCCTTGATCCGGATCGGATCCAGTTGGATCCGGCCCTGCGCTAGCAGTTTTCTGGTCTTTCACGAATTCGCTCATAACTTTCTACTCCGGTATCGGATTTACGCGATTTCAATGTCTACGTGAAGCTCTTGAAGTGCTCTTTCCAATGGTACAAGTCTCGTATGATTTGGACCTCTGTAGAGAAAGTTATTGATGTCGCAACATGAGTACCTCATCCGGACTTCTCCTTTAACGCTCCAAATAGATCCTTTTCGAGTCCAATCATCTTCGAAACCTGTAACTCTGCAAAACTAAAGCACAACCGGGTTTTGTGTCCTAACACGCCTAGAATGCCTATGAATGCATGTGATTATCCTATAAAACCTAGACAACTCTCATCAAAATATAGAGAAGAATATAAGTTATCAAAATCCCCCAGATTTAAACCTTTGCTCGTCCTCGAGTAAAGAACGAAGGAATAAAATCTGCAAAACAAGAAATGACGAACATCAAATAGCATCATCGTGAGACTCTAAAGCAAAACATCCATCCAACACTAGTTTCCCGAGAATCGTACCCAAACCGGTCTACTATGATCTTCCTACCAAAGACTAATCTACCTAGCCATGAGATTTTTATTGCCATCTAGGACCCATTAGAATCTCTACAACTCACCAAGTCTATTTCCGAACCTATCCTTATCTCAACTTAGCCTTTTCGATCTTAGTTCTCTTTCGTACCTGGATTTTTACCTTTTTGTAGATTCTTTCTATCAAACGCTAGCATCTCGGGTTTCTAGGACGTTGAAGTTGAAGGACATCGTTTTTCTCTCCTTTTTTTTTCTTCTTTTTTCTTTTCTCTTTTTTTTCGTTAAATGCGATGTCCAACCCACAACTTAGACCCGAACAATCGATCGATGCACTCATGTCCTCGAACGATTTTCGTTAACGA